TCTTGATACATTGAAAGATGTATATATATTCGACTTTTTCGTGTCGGCACGATCCAATAACGACGATCATTTGATATTGTTGCTGTGCTGGAACGCGGGCACGTGCTGCTGGATTTGGTGGTACGCGTCGTCCTTCCCATATCCCTCGAGGATCTCGAGCGTCTCTTGGATGAGCGCCTTTGTCATGCTGTCGCCCGTGCCCAAGTGCTTGTCCTTGAGGAGGTTGCAGAGTGGCAGGATCGACCGGTAGTATTCAGAGAGCGCCTCGCCCACGCCTACTTCCTGTCTCTCAACATATCTTTGTCAATATAGCTTTGGATGGACCTTGGCAGACCGCGAGCTGCTGCAGGACGAGGAGTGTTCGGTGCACGACCTCCTTGTCCCGCGTGCCAAGCGCACTCTTGACGTGCGGCATGAGCGCCGCAAGCGCGCGGAGGACGCGCGTGTCGCCCATGCCATGCTCGAGCAAGTCCATGCACGCTCGGTAGGCGAACGTCGGGTATGGCTCGAGCGTTTCCTAGTGGCCGCGCATGGTCAGCGTGTCGGAAAGCTACCGGAGAGGTGTAGACCTGGAGCCCCGAGAAGCAAATCGGAAGGAAATGCTGGTAGTCCAAAGCCTCAAGAGGCGTCGTCCACACGACTTGGCGGTCGCCCATGACGGTGTTCTAGTCCGTCAAATTGTCTTATTGACCACCTCTGGCTAAGCACGTACCTCGATCGTGAGCGGGAGCTCTTCTTGGTCGAAATACCGCCGGAACTCGGACTTGGCTTTGGCCGCCGCCTTGCGACCGGACGACGTGAGCGGCCGCGACGTCACGGGCGCGTCGTCGAGGCGCAGCACATCGGCCGTGGTGCTCATGCTGGAAACGACTCGAGTGGTTTCGTTGGCGTTTTGTGTGTTGTATCAAGATTTCAACACACACAAAGTGTCGAGAAATAGATATATTATTGCGCAGACACTTGGCGACGCAGGGTGACGACGAGGTCGCGAATGAGCCGTTCGTCCTGCAGCTCGACGGTCGTCCACATACAGGCGACGAGACCGTAGCTGGCGTAGAAAAGCAAGAGTACGAGCAGGACCCAGGACGCAACATCGACGCTCGCGTCGAGCCGAGGGTACCGTCGTCGGAGGTCCTCGTACCTCTCGTGTACAAAGCACAGCATGGTCTCGATGTGCGGATGGCCACATCGGTTGTCGTCTTGGACGTCGGCCTCGGAAATGATGTCCGAGACGGCGTCGTTGAGGGGATCTTCCTCGTCCATCGGGTCTTCCTCGGGCTCGCTCTGAGATGTTGAGGCGCGCTTGGGGTGGACTTGGACGGGAGACGACGGCGCTTTCTGCGAGAGCTCGGTGATGATCGAGTCCTTGGCGTGGACGTCGTCGAGAAGGCGGTCGTACTTGCGCGCCAACGAGTCCAGCGCTTCCTCGTACTCGGCGACCCGTTGGAACTGTTGGTGCTCGATCTCTTCAAAGATCTCGTGCTGCTGCGCCTCGAGCCGCGCGCTCTCGGTCGCGTGCTCTTCGCGCCATCGCGCTTGGCGCCGCGCGAGCGCTCGCCGCTTGCGCTCGCCCAGTTCGCGGATGAATTCGAGCGTCTTTTCGGGGCCGCTCAGATTCTCTTGCCCGATCTCTTGCACGACCTTGCTCGCCATCTCCATGTGCTCGAGGACCTCGGCCGGCATCCGCGGTGCCCGCGGGCGTGGCGGCCGCCGACGGACTCCTGTCAGGTCTATGCAGTCGTTAGCACATGTCTCTCGCCGCGAGTATGTACCTTTGAGCGACGGCCGCTCGTCGGCGTCCGCGCCCGTCGGGTACACCGGTGGCCTCCGCGTCGGCGTCCGGTCGTCGTCGAAGGGCGGCGACTCGGGTATCGTCGGGAGCGCCGATGGGAACTTGGCGGGCGTCGCCGGCGACGGCTCGTGGAGCTGCTCGATCCGGGCGTCGATGGCGCGAAGCCACTTCTGCTCGTCCTGCGCCGATCGCATCGCTTATCCGTGCTAGCGCGGGAGAGCCGTCGAGCGCAGGATTCAAAATGCGATCAGCGGACGCACTGGAAAGTTTAACGTCCTGTTTAAACGCCAGGTTAAACGCCGGCTCGTCCTCGACGCTCTCCTCAAGCCATCGTATGGCATCGCCTCGAGAGGCCCAGAAATGGATTAATGAGCTTGAGGACTATAAAGAGACGTGCATGTATCACAATGCTACGGGCAACAACGTGGTATCGTTGCAAGAGGACAAGGGGATACGCAGCAGTCGCAAGCAAGCGCGCGTTGGCGGAACCCGCGTTTAACCTGAGGTTAAAGTGGGCGTCAGTCGGCGAGGTGCATTTTATGCAGCTCATAGGGGCGATCTTGACGCGTTAAATGTCGATGTGTCATCATTGTATTGGATGTGAATGGAGTCATACTACTACGCCGTAGTGCATTGGCTTGGCCATACCTTTGCTTAGTGGAGGGCCGCAGCGACGACGACCGCCGCCATGGTGAGGCCGACCGAGGCCGCGCTGGACGGCTTGGGCGTGCTTGTGGCGGCGGCCTGCGACCCCGCGGTCGGGACCGTCGTGGCCTTGATCGTGGAGTTGGAGTCGGCCGTGCCGTTGGCAGCCTTGGTCGAGGTCGGGCCGGCGAGGCTGGCAAAGGACTTGAGCATGAGCTCGAAGCCCTTGGACATCTCAAGCGTGGTCACGGCCGTCGTTTCGACGCCGCCGATGGAGCACGCGGGCGTGAAGCTGCCAATGCTCGTTTGGAGCGACTTGTAGAGCTCTTGGCAGTCGGGACTCGCGAGGATCATCTTGACCTGCGCTTCCGACGGCATGGCACCCGTGGCGACGGTCGTGAGGTCAAAGCTGGCGACCGTGCCGCAGGCCTTGAACGGCGCCGTGCCCAAGATGGGCAAGAGCTTCGCGCCCAGCGACGCCGGGTCACACGGGGCCGACGCAGCGGCGGCGGCGCCAGCCATGGCAAGGACAAGGGCGGAGGTCTTCATGGTCTCGGGAAGGCAAGTTGGAAAGTGTCGACTGTGAAGCCAGCCGATACATTGGCCCGACACTGGCGCAAGAAACAAGGCTTTGTCCCAAAAGCAAGGTTTTGTCCCAAGAGCGAGGTTTTGCCCATGGAGCGAGCGCGATGATAGGCACCTCTTCTCGTTGTATGTATCGTTCTCCGTAGGCGCAAGCGCTACTCACGCGAAGGAGCTGTAGCTGCAGGAGCTGTTACCAAGGAATTTCTCCGGGGGCTCTCGCTCGGAGCGCTGCGTCTACAACCCATGCATCGCTCTCGCGTCGCTCTCGCAGCCCACGCCGCTCCTCGTCTGCACAGAATTGCTCCAACGATCAGGCAAATGAGCTCCCTGTCAACGTGTAGCTGCTGGACCATATCCTGGGTCCAGAAGCTACAGGTCGACAGGGCTGAGCTCATAGCTTCA